TGGTAACAGGAAGTGGCATGTCCATGTCATGCTCAGCTCCCTGGCTGTGGTGGCATGGACAATCAGAAGTTCTCTTGTTCGCTGGGTGTGGTGGCGAGTGCCTTTAATTCCTGGAGGCAGAGGCAAGTGAGTTTGAAGGCAGGCTGGTCTACAGAGAGAGTTCAAGGACAGCCGGGGCTACACAGGGAAACCCTGTCTTCAAAAAACAAACAAAAAAGTTCTCTTGTACTGTGGTGGTCTATCCTGCAGACGTGTAGCTTGCACCAGTTAACCCAGCGATTCTAAAGGGAGTCAGGCCCTGCGTCCTACAGTTTCCTACATCTCCAACCATAGGACATGGGAAACTCTTTGGGACAGGTGCTTAAGAGGGTGATGAAATATTTCTCTGTGGAAGTACGGACGAAGACACATTCTACACAGGCACCAAAGCCCATTGAAATATGTGTGACTGTCCCAATATTGCTGTAGTCAGGTTTTTTTTTTTTTTTTAATTGCTAGGATTTGGGGAGAATTGCAGTGGATTAGAAATGAAGACAAATGGGCCTATTGCGAATGTGCCACATGCCCAGTGAAGAGGTGGTGGTGAGAGCCGCCTGACTAACCTGAGAAACAGATTCAATAACTGCCCGCCAACGGTACTGTGCTTGACAAGCCCTTTCTCATGGGGTCCCAGCAGCTCTCAGGTAAGTCCACCACCATGACTAGGCAGCGTCTATGCCCCTATGTATCTGGAAGCATCAGTAGGAACCCATATTGCTTTTAACCTATTTGTCCACAGACTCATATTTGCTCGAAAACAACAGACTTTCTCAGAACAACAAGGATTTACAGTAGAAGTTACTGTAGCGTGAGCTGGTGGCTTGGCCCAGATCGGGTGATAGGGATGCCCCAAGGTTTGTGTTGAGTCTCGGATGGGGTCGGCGCAGGATGGAGTGGATACAGGCAGAGTGAGCAAGGCCACCCCAGGGTGGGCAAGGCCACCGAGGGGACCGTGGAGGACTGAAGGCACCCTGGCAGGTGAGAGCGGAGGCTGGAGAAGGAAGCGTAAGCAGAGGCTGGAACTGCAGGCAGCAACAGCCGGAGATAGAAGCGGAAATGAGGGTCAGCACTAATGGTGGCAGCCGGGATGGCACCGCAGGACAGGGTAGGTGAGACGCCGGAGCAGGGCCCGGAGGCGCTAAGAGCCGTCCCCGGCCTCCCTGTGCCTAATGACGTCGTCACTGCAGCCACGTGGCCCCTGCAAAAATGCACCAAGATCAGAAGCTCTGTTTATTTTAAGTGTTCACAGCCGTGTGGTGAGCCTTGAAGGCAGTGGCAGCCATAGGCACACCCGGGCCCGTGTCAGGTCCTGACGGACAGTCTCCCCCTGCCCGCCAGGGGGAAATACCTCCTAACCACGAACTCGAGTTCCAAGGTCCTGAGGGCTGCACTGTCCTGCAGGGCTGCAGGCAGCTTTGGGCCGTGATGCCTGAGTGATGTGTCCTGTAGGTGGTGGACCATCGTTTCCTTCCTCGATTAGAGGGGTTGTGTGTGTGTGTGTGTGTGTGTGTGTGTGTGTGTGTGTGTGTGTGCGCGCGCGCGCATTGTGTTTTAAAACATGGTGCCAACTAGCCCAGGCTGGCCCGGAAGTCCCTCCTGCCTCCACCTAGCCGGTCATAAGATTTCAGGCGTGCACCGCCATGCTCTGCATTGTAGCTGATCTTGGGTGTGAACCTGACTGACTCTGGAATCAACTAAGCGGCCTCGCACTCCTGTGAGGGGTTTTCGTGGTTGCACTGTTTCAAGCAGGCGGAGCCGCCCTCAATAGAGTGGCAGTCTATATAAAGACGCGGGAGAGGGAACTGTTTTTGCCTTAGTTACCCTCGTTTTCGCCAGCAAGCTCCCCTACCCTGCTGTTGCAGAGGTCTTCCGTCTCTTCTCAGGCATTCCAGTGTAGACGGAAGACCAGCCCCTCTCCAGGAATCCTCCGGGCCTTCAGCTCCAGAGGGGAACGACTGAGGATTGGCCACAGGACACACATAACCTGTGTACAGTAACTAGCATGCTTCCCAACTTTGTGAGACATTTAAAATTTAGAATAGACTGGTTCTTCTAAAGACCCATAGGTATCGAATAAGTATGTACCTGCACACGATTACTTAATTTTCAAGACAGCTCTACCCTTGTTCACTGTGGCTTTGAAAAGCCTTATAACTAAACTGCTGACATTCTCCAGAAGTGTTGCTCTGACAAACACGAGCATTTTACAGAGCAGGACAAGCAGAGTGGACCTCGGTGTGCCCCTAAGAGCCACTTTCATATCTCAGATGCTTAAACTAAGCCTAAGGGATTTCCTGGCACTAATTTCCCCATGTCTGTCATTGCCCCTCCCCCAAGGAAGGAATCGATTCAGACCAAACAGGATGAATCAGCAGTGTCTGCAGAGAACATCGCTCAGAGACTAGGGATCTAGGGACGGTAGTCTGAAATAAAGCCACGCTGCCATGGTAACACCTGCCTGTAATCCCAGCACTGAAACAGCAGGGCGGAAGTTTGAGGTTGAGAGACCAAAAGATTAAAAATTAGCAGCTATTCTTTAAGGCTTGAACTAGGTGGGTGGAGAAGTCCAGGAATGCCCCGAGGGGAAGAACCACTTTACTGTATTCTTTCCCCACCCACTAGAGGTAGTTACTAGGAAACTGGCCCATCCCCCTAGGGAGAGACACCAGGTCATTAATGGTCTGGGGACCTTCCTATAGCCAATCAATTCAAAATGCAGCATTTTGAACAATAGATGCTTGCCGGGCAGGAATCACACCTGCCTTGGGCATGCTGGGAGGGACCAGAATCTTTAAATCACCAACTAACCTGAGCACGGTGCTTGGCTCCCACCACTTTGGCGGTGGGGGGTGTGGGCCCAAGCTGCAGCTTGTAATTTACAACAAAAAGAACCTCATATATTTATAGGGGAGTCTATTTATTCCTGTCTTTTGGGGTCTGTGAACTGGGCAGAACAAGGTCAGCGTAGGCTTGGTAATGAGGCCTTGTTTCAAACCAGAGAGATGAAATTGCTTATGTCCATTCTTCCAAAGAAAACCAGAAGACAAGAGATTTTTTTAAAAATATTTTTTATTAATTATTATTATTTATTACAATTTATTCACTTTGTATCCTGGCTGTGGCCCCCTCCCTCATCTTCTCCCAATACCATCCTCTTCTCCTCTTATGCCCCTCCCCTAGTCCATGAGAGACCAAAAGATTAAGAATCAGTCATTATTATTAAACTTTAAGGCCTAAACTAGCTGGGTGAGGTCCAGTAATGCCCTGAGGGGAAGAACCCCCTTACTGCATTCTTTCCCCACCCACTAGAGATACAGTTGCTGGGAAACTGGCCCATCCCCCTAGGGAGGGACACCACATCATTAATGGTTTGGGGACCTTCCTATAGCCAATCAATTCAAAATGTAGCATTTTGACCAATAGATGCTTGCCAGGCAGGAATCGCCCCTGCATTGGGCATGCTGGGAAGGACCAGAATCTTTAAATCACCCAACTAACCTGAGCATGGGCCTCTCCACTCTCGGCTTTGGCGGTGGGGGCTGTGAGCCCGAGCTGCAGTTTGTAATTTGTAATAAAAAGATCCTCATGTGGTTTGCAACGGACTCGGCTCCTGGTGGTGGTCTTTTGGGATATCGTGATTCAGGCACAACATCCACTGATGGGGAAGTCCTCCTCTCCTTCTATCTGACCCTAGCCTATCAGGTCTCATCAGGACTGGCTGCATTATCTTCCTCTGAGGCCTGGCAAGACTGCACCCCCCATGGGAAGATGGTCAGAGAGCCTGAAGAGATTTTTAAAACCAGCCCTTGAGGGCTGGAGAGATGGCTCAACAGTTAAGAACACTGTTTGCTCTTCCAGAGGTCCTGAGTTCAGTTCCCAGAAACCACGTGATGGCTCATAGTCATCTATATTGAAATCTGGTGCCCTCTTCTGGCCTGCAGGTGTACATGCGGATAGAACACTCACACACCGTAAAGAAATAAAGAAATTTTAAAAAAGAAAACTATTCTTAAGCACGGCGCCTGCCACTAACTAAACGTGTCCACGCCTCATCCCTGTTTATCTAATTCATGCTTGTCTCACATCCAGACGTGTTCCACTGCAAGGCTGCGGCATTAAACCAGCAAGCGCAGAAATGGAACTGGCCTGGCAGAAAATAGTGCCCTTAACCTCTGAGCCACCTCTCCAGCCTGCTGTGACTTTTGTTTGTGCTCACGTTCCGCTTCTGTAACCCTGCCTGTTTGAGTGCCAAGTCCCCCATTTTTAAACCTGACTGATAAACCCCTAACCTTCCCCATGTCCAATGCTGATCTTTTGAACCTGCCTTTAGGGACAGACAGCCTGTGCACGTGAATAAAAAAAGCTTGCTTTAATTAATTTGGCCCTGATGATTTGGGTCAGTGGGCGTTCTCCTCGAATCTGTGGGATTAACAGTGGCCTACACCTTTTAGGCCATCCCTAGGAATGCAGAGTCAGGTGGGTCTCTTGTCAGTTCAGTCCTGGTCTACAAGGCAAGTTCCAGAACAGGGCTACCTGGAGAGACCTTATTTCAGGAAAAAAAAAAAATCATGATACGATTTCTATGTATAAATACATATATGTACACATGTAAATACATGTATGATCTTAACTGGAAGGTTCCATGTGTATATGAGATTGGGGCTGGTTTCGCCACAGGAAGTCCTGCCTTAAAATACCTTCAGTCAAGAACTTGTCGATCTTTTCAAATTCACCTATGATCGGTGACCTTTACTGTCGCTTAGGATCTGAGAAGGAGGGACAGGAAGCCCTGTCTCTGAGGCTTTGGGGGGGGGTGGTGAGGGATGTCCAATCAGACACACAGACAGAGAGTAAGGGCGGGCTTCCAGTCCTGTGACCTCCACCTGGCCACCGGCGCCACCTGAGCCGTCTGCTCTCCATCCTGCGCCCTGTCCGCGTGTGCGCGCTCTGAGCCCGCAAGTCCCGGGAAGGTCTGCGTATCGCCTGGTACCCCTTGAGAACCGCAGTGAGGACTCCGGGTGTCCAGGAATCCTGAAATGGTGCGTCGGTGGCAGGTGCCCCGCTGTGGAACGCGGCTGGGTGGGCTCCGGGCCCCGGGCGTCCTGTGCTTCCCTGGTCCCGGGGCGCGTGTCGTGCTGCGCGGGAAGGCTGTAACCTGGCCCTTGGCTCTCCGTTGTCTGTGCCCCTGGGTCCCCCGATCTCTGCCTCCGAGGGCTCCCGCCGTCCGGTTCCCGAGATTCCACATCTGCGGTTTGGGGTGTTCAGCCTGGGGCCCGGACGATCCTGGCCCTGGGACGTCAGGCTCGATTCCTGGCCCTAGAACCCCATCTGTGTTGGGACCCTTCCATTAGCGGGTTTCGGCGCTGGTCTTCCGTTCTCTCGTGAGACAAATCAAACGCTGTAAGACCGTGGGACACATACACAGAATAGCACGCCCCCCCCCCTCCCCGCTTTCTGTTCCAAAAGCTGAAGACTTGGGTTGAAGAGAAACGTGTCGTTTCAGGGGTTGGTGTCGTTCGAGGACGTGGCCGTGCGCTTCACCTGGCAGGAGTGGCAGGAGCTGAGCGCGGCCCAGAGGAGCCTGTACAGGGACGTGATGCTGGAGAACTACCGCAGCCTGCTCTTCCTGGGTGAGGACTCCCAGCAACCGTTACTTTCCACTTCTATGTTACACACTTCACTGGACACATTGTAACAGGACAGGATGCATGTTTTTGAGAACAGTGTGCGGTTTTGCAGGCCGCTTACAGCGTTTGTAAAGATCTCATGACGGTAAAAGATGGGTTTATCAGCAGGGCATTATTTCTCCCTACTGTGAACATTTAAAAATTTTTTTCCCGATAAATATTTTGAAGGACTTAGTGGCTCTCGATCATATATGCATTGCTGTTCTGTAGAGCGTAAATTACCCATTACTTCCATAGGGAATAGACTCATTTCTCCATCCTCATTTGTCTTTCCGCAGCTGTCATCTCTCCTTCTTGGAGCTTGGATAACATACGGGTTTGTGTGTACACATTTCACTGTCTGTCTCCGACCTTTCTGGGGAAGATACAGAGTAAACATCCATTCGCTACAAATTTAGAGGCTCTTCCTGCTGTTCCGGTGTTCAGTGTCCTCACGTGTCGTGGAAATTAATGTCTTGTTACAGGAGTGTTGTTTTTAAGCCAGTCTCAGTGGCTCATGCCTGTAATCCCAGCACTTGGAAAGGCAGAGGCAGCGGGATCTCTGTGAGTTCCAGGCCAGCCTGGTCTACAGAGTCCAGGACGGACGCGGCTTCACAAAAGAGACAATGTTGATTTCTTCTATTAGTTGCTTGCTTTTTGGTATAGGTGATTTTGACATTGATGTCATCCCATCTGTTCATTTTTGCTTCTGTTCCTGTTTTTCACATATATTAGTTAAAACACTGTCTACACCATTGTATCAAAATGTTGCCTGTCTGTTCGAGGAGCTTCGTGGTTTTTCAAGTCTCCTATTTAACTTTGGATCCGTTTTTAGTTGAGTTGTATGGTGACAATGAGGTGTCTGTTACCGAGTCAATGTCCTGTTTCCTAGCACCACTTACGCATGAGAACTTCCCGTCTGAATGAGTTTGTGAAAATCCGTTGGTGGGTGGTCAGTGGTCCGTAGCTCTGCTAAAACACTGGAGATGGGGGGGGGTTTGTATGAGGGAGGAAAATGGATTTATTTACAATCTGTCCGCAGTGCCTAGGGTTTACGTTCTTAGGTTTCTTTGCCTTTCCTGTTTACAGCTTTACAGAAAAGATAAAACAAAAGCCAGGAAGCAATGATGGGTATCTGAACAGAAAAATCTCTCCCTGCAGGCAAGCTCTTCCTCTGGGGTTAGGCCATTAACCTTCTCTTCTTGCAACATGGAGTCCTGAAGATATTTCAATTATGCAGGGTCCTGGTGACACTGGCAGTCTGGACTCTGGGGTTCTATCTGGGGGCGGCTTTCTTGGACTCCTTCGCTGCCTTTGGTTGACTCAGACACCTGAAAAAGGCGTGCCCTGGGACCAGACGGCCACACAGCCTCAGTTGAGAGCCGGAAATCGACAAATGTTTTAAAAGGAGTAAAAGTTTGCCTTTGCTTGTGGTTTTGTACTTAGTTGGCTTATTTTAGAGTTTACCCATTTAGTCCTTTTCACCAATGAGCAGAGTAAACACCGTCACTGGCTCCTGCTTTCCCGCTTGGGTGCTGCTCTTTTGGAAGTTCTTCTTAGGCACCAGCTTGGCCCTTTTTGCTTCCTTGGCGGCCCTGATAGCGTGCTCTCCCTGAGCTTTCCTGATTCTTCTTGGCCGTGACATTAGCAAGAGATCCACCAGTGCCAGCCACTGGAATTTGACTGCTTGGTGGATCCTTTGAACTTCTTACAATCGCTCCCCCCCCCTTTTTTTTTCTCCCTGGAGAGGGCAGTATTTTATCTGCCTAGAGCTTCTCTGAAAGGAACTCAGGGTTGATAGCCAGCTGTGTGGTGGTGCAGCCTTTAATCCCAGCACTCTGGAGGCACAGCATTTCTCTTATCGTAGAGCTTAGCACCAGGTATGCCAGATTTTCTATTTAGAGTGCCCATTGTGTTCCGTCCGTTTATCTGTCTCCCGGGACCTTACCTTTTCGGTTCCTATCTCTGGAGAAGGCGTTGAAGGCTAGTATTGCAAAGGCTTTAAGTTTGTTTTGATCAAGGTTGTTTACACCATTTGAGTCTTTGGTGCTTCTGTGTGTTGCTTGAGATGTTGAGATATTGTTAAGGACATCCTTTTCTGGTCTATGAAGACTGTCATTGAAATTAAGATTGTGATTTCATTGACTCTAACTTTTTTATGGATCTGAACATTATTCTTCTAACCACAAACTTGGAATGCAATGTTTTGGGGATTTTTCTTCTCTTGGTTTTGTGAAACAAGATTTCCCTGTATCCTGGGATGGTCTTAAATTTATGTAGCCCAAGCTGGCCTCACCATCATAGCAGTTCCCGTACGGTAGAGTTCTGGATCCCAGGACCTTTCCATTGTTTCAAGGGACTGTGTCATCTTTAGCTTATTTTCTATTTCATTGTGCTATTTTTTACTTCTTGGTTAATTAACTTTTAAAATAGGTTGAGGTTATAGCCCAGTGGTAAACAGCTTTCTAATATGTCCAAGACGCTATAATTCAATCCCCAGGATGGCAATAAACAATAAAATTACTGAACCATTTTAATAAGTGGATTTCTTTTCTTTTATTTTTTTTTTCTCCATAGAGGTGCTCATGCTTCTGAGTGTGAAGAGTTAAGGCATGGGTTTCCACTCCCGGCTAAGAAAAGACTTTAAAATGTCTTCAGGGGCCACTTTGAATGGGGTTGAGTTCTGCATTTCTCTGCAGTTTCATTCTTCATGAACACATGAGGTGTGGCTTTTGGTGTTTTGCGTTTGTATTTTGTAACCTGTTGTCTTGTCATCATCCACCCCCCTCACACACACAGGGTTTTAAAAACCTTAATTCTTTCTCTACATAGCATCCTTTGCTCTCTAAATAAGGACACTGTTGTGTTCTCCTTTCTACTTAAAAAAATTTTTTTTTGGATTTGTTGTTTTGCCTGAGTGTACCTCTGTGTACCACATACAGGCCTGGTGTTTGAAGAGGCCAGAAGAGAGCACTGGATCCCCTGAAACTGGAGTTATAGCTAATGAGAGCCGTCATGTGGATGCTGGGAGTCAATGAGACACCTCTCTGGTCCTGGTGGCCTTTGTCTCTCACTATCAGATACACGTGTCTAGAGACCTCGATGCTATGTTGGAAAGTCGTGGTGAAAGAGCACATCCTTCTCGTGTTCCAGGCCTTACAGGAAACATGTGCTTTCTCCACCCCTTCTGCTGTGGGCTGGGGGCGGGGGGGGGGGGGGGGGGACTTGCCGGCCGTGGGGGGGGGGGGGGGGGGGGGGGGGGGGGGGGGGATAGTCATCTGACACGTGGAGGGCTTATGTGAAGGTGGGTACGGTATTCTTAAAGGGCCCTATGCTTCTATGGTGGCGTTCACATGACTATGCCCACTGTGTAAATGTGGTGGTTTAAACTTGGGAATTTATGTGTGGTATTGTGGGGTATTCGCCAGAGAAGACTGCTCGGACATGGTTTAGAACATCTTTATTAGTTGGGCTGGCAACTACCCTGTCTGTTCAGGATCCCAGTGCAGCCCTGAGCCTTTCTCAGGGTGAGCTTTTAAGCACAAAAACCATATCCTGGGTTGGTGTGCCTCAGTTAACAAGAGCAGTTACACAGAAGCGGAACTGCAGAAGCCTAAAAGCAAGGTTAATACCTTTAGAGTCTTTTCCAGAACTATGGGCTTTGATGGATCAGGCCTTTGCTTTAGTTTTGGCTGGCAGTCCTGTCTATGTGAGGAGATTTATGGCCTGAATGGCAGGCACTTCCATCATGGAATCAGTTGTGCTGAGATCTCAGGGCCTGTTACAGTGGGGTCCCTGGGATGAAACACATATGAGACTTTTTTATAATCTTCTCTGTTTTGTTTGTTTGTCTTTTGAGGCTGGTTTCTCTGTGTAGTGCTGGCTGCCTGGAATTTGCTCTGTAGACCAGTCTGGCCTCAACCTCACAGAGCTCCCTCCACCTGCCTCTGCCTCCCAAGTACTTGAATTGAAAGCATGCACCACCACACCTGGCCGCTTATACTCTCTCCATGTGTTGTTTTTCCAGTTTTGTTGAGAACTTTGGCACCTCTTGTACATTAGGAACGCCACATCTGTAATTGATTGCTGCGCTCCTGCCTAGTTTGGGGAACATTTGTGATGCCCGTGTCTGTGGTAACAGCTGAAATCTTGGTTGTTCCTCCAGACGGTATCATTACCCTGCCCTCTGGAAGTATTTAGATTCTGTTTGTCTTGGAGTTTCCAGTTTCACTGTATTTGACAGGGTCATTGTTGCTCAGGTCTGATAGGTTCCCTTTCAGCTTCCTGGACCTGGATGCTCATGTCTCTCCCAATATCCAATCCTTTCAATGACTGGGTATTGCAATGTCTTTTCCCTTCTCTTCTGGAACATTCCTAAGGCTTTTTTTTTTTTTCTTTAATTGATGAGCAGAGGTTTTGGGGGCTCAGGTGGTGTATTACCTGCCGTGTGTATGTACGTGGAGATCGATGGAAAATTGTGGATATCCATCCTGGTCTTACACCTTGAGATGGGGTTTCTTTGCTTTAGTGCTGTTTTCAGTCAGCTGGCCTGGGAGCTTGCTGGGGACTGGTTTCTCTCCGTCTCCTGTCTCCCCAGAGGGGCACTGCTTACAAATGCATGTGCTAAGTCTTCAGGTGTGATTGTGTGTTTTTGCTTGGTGCTGGGTGTCTGAGTCGGGTCCTTCTGTTTGCACAGCCCTTTCACCCACCAAGTCATCTCCCAGCCCCAAATATTTTGACTTTGGAATCTTTTAGAATTTTACTCCCCCACCCCTTGTTCATGAATTGAGTTCTTCCTCTGTCAAGCTTTTGGCTCTCCCCCCGCAAAAAAAAAAATATATATATATATATAATAAGCTTGTTATATAAAATCAAACACAAAATCTTATCAATGATTCAAACTGATTTCCAACTGGTGTGCTTGTATTTAGGAAAACTATAAAACATGTTTACATCTTCACAACACATGTAGTTACAGCTGAAAAGCTATGAAATTCACAGTTATAAAGATTTAAAGTGGAGTTCCGTAAATTTAGCTGTAAGCAAGTATTTGGTGCTGGTTGCAAACAACTATTAAGCCAAAAGCAAGAGAAATGAGAGGAAATTACATGGTTTTAACGTGTCATGACAAATACTTCTCTAAGATGAAAAACAAGGCAATATAAAATTTATTTAAATAATTGAGATTTCTAACTGGATCCCTGGTTGTTTTTGGCAGCTTAGCCTAGCCTGGGGAGGGCAGTGTGCTCTGAGGTCAGGGAGCCTGTGCTGTGCCCCGCTGGATCCTTGCTAACTATAGTTAGGCAATCTGGCTGAAAATAAGGAAGCAGTGTTAGCAACAGCACACGCCTTCCCCACTGAGGCTCAAGCCTATGTTTACGTGTGTACATGCATGTTTATGTTTACATAGACATATATGCTGGGAGGAGGGGAGTAGATGACCACATACATCATGTACAAACTTCAAAGTCCTGTTTTGTATTTGGTACTACAGTCATAGTGATGGTCAAACCCTCCCATTCCAGAGAGTGCTGCCCACTATAGTAAGCAGCTTTTAAAAACTAGCGCAAGTGCTTTTGCCCTCCTCCTTTTTCCAAGCACAAGAAGGGAGGGAGCTCCCTAAGAAGTAGGCGAGGGATTGCTTTCCATTTAATACTATTTAATAGCTGGTTGTGACCATGTGTTCTTGCTGTACTACTCATCCTCAAGAATATTCGGAGCCGTTTCCCACTTAGAGGCAGCATTTGGAAGTGTATGCCATGTTGGCTCTTTACATTTTTCTTAGTTCAATAAAAGAAATTTTAATAACAAAATATGTGTAAAATTAAAATTTTTGTAACCTATTTTTATTAACCAAAGTACTTGCTTGCAGTCATTTATCTGAAAATATTTTATGGTTTCTTACAAAAGTTGGCTTTTGTCTTCATAAAGTTAACTTAAAAACTTCATACCATGTTTCTGGGCAACCATTCCTGTCTCTTGTGGTGTTCCAGCTCCATGAGAAGAGCCTGTGTGTGGGCCTCATACATCTTAACAATTTGTCGATCCTTGAAGGGAAACGCTGGTACTTCCTGGTGTCTGGCTTAGCCAGTAGAGTGGCCACTTCAGACAGTGCTCACATTTCACAGGGGATCAGGCAGATGCCTGAAGCTAGTCAAGGATTTCTGCAGTGTGGTAAGGATTTGCAGGGACCAAGAGGGGCTGACTGAGGAAGCCGATCAGACTGGGGTGTGCTGTAAACATTGGCGTGCCTACCTGAGCTCTTTCATTTGTGTGATCCACATAGTAGCTTCCAAATTCTGATGGTTCCACTCACTCACCCAGGAGGAAGGCTTTCTCATCCAAGGATGGCTCCCGTGAGTTGTGTTTGTGTTGTCACCTACAGAACGCTGTCTCCTCACGAACCAGCCTTTTTATGATCATGTTCTCATTTGTCCTAAATACCATAGGTGTTGTCTTTCTATTTCATTGTGCCTTCCTACCACTTCTGTTTTCTTAAAACCATCACATCAGGCTAATATGCAGTTTAATGACCCTGAAGATAGTTATCAAAGAAAAAGCTATGCTAACGGTTTTTAAGTCGCCGATTATAGCACCATTTATGAATTGGAGCTATTTGTTATTTTATAGACCTGACCTGCACTCAGCATCATTTGTCTATTATTTCACACTTTCAGGGCACTGTCTGACCAAACCTGAGCTGATCTTCAAATTGGAGCATGGACTTGGGCCGTGGGATGTGGCAGAAGCCTCGGGCAGGAGCCTCCCAGGTCAGTAGAGGCATGTTGAGCACGGAAGGTCAGCAAGAAGGAAATTCATCAGCTCTTGCCATGTTGAGCTTTTTTTGCCGACTTTTACCTAAACCCACTGCTGATGAATAAGTCTCTCTACTAGAGTAAACACAGGCATGAGGAAAGTGTCCACAGCGAATTAGCTTGGTAAACCAGAAAGCCTCTAACTTTGTGAAGGGAGACGTTTGTGCTTGTTTTTCAACAGCAGCTCTTACTATCAGTCACTTCAGCTTTTGCACCGAGGCATACCCGAGCCAACTAATTTCTCACAAACACCTGCTTTCATTTGCTTTTGGAAGAAATCTCACTGATGAAAACGAAGACTGCACAGGTAGAAAGTGATATTTGAAACAAACTGGATGTGAAAGAAATCAGCATTAGGTTTTCTTATAATCTTTGAAGCATGTGAGAAGCCGAAGTAAGGCCGCTCATCCTGAAACTTTATGTGCTGTCTCACGATGGAGGGATCTCAAATATAGATATATGTGCCCGGAACCTTTGTGAACCAATGTTTTAATAAGTGAAGTGGCATGCCTCGCCAGGTTATGCCAGTTGACATCAATATCCCAGAACACCAGGAGGAGACAGACTACCCAGACAAACCCCAAAACGACAAGTTCGAGGCTCTGTGTAGGCCTATATTCACCCTTACCTTGTGCACAGAATAATGATGATTTTAAAACTTAAAAGCTTCCACACTGTTGATAATGTGCAGTTCTCCATTCCCTCGGGATCTTTTTTTATTTGTTTTGTTTTGTTTTTCTAAAATGAAAAATAGAACTACCGTTATGGGGCAGGTGTCCTTCTCCCGCCTGTATGCATGGTGGAATTAAAGTAAGGGACAGAGTAGAGGTAAACACATGGGCCCATGTTTACTGCCAGGGTATGGTATCCGAGTGTGTCCTCATCCTTAGACTCATGGATGAGTTGCATGTAAAGTGTGTTACTCAGCCATCAGTAAGAATGGGGCCGTGGTCTTTCAGAAACATGGGTGGAAGGACACTCTGTCATGTCAAGCGGAATACGTTAGAATTGAAATGGAAAGTATGTGTTTTGTACCACACACTGAATGTGGAATTAAAGTCAAAACCAGAAAAGTAGAATTGGGAGGATTCCATAGGAGCGATGAGCCAACTGGAAGGCAAGAGTGGGAGAGTGTGTGTGTTGTATAACTAATATGTTGGAAATGAGGCCTTAAATTTTGCACTTGAGGGTGTGGCGGTGCACTTGGGAGGCAGAGGCAGAGGCCACCCTGGGCTACAGAGCAAGTTCTAGGCCAGCTAGAAGGGACCAAGTGAACCCCTGTCTCCAGTGTACACAGATTTTTATTTGAAATTTTCACCTACGCACAGAAAAGTGCACTTGCACAATGAGCTGCTGGCTATTTTATTTTTAATACAAATATTTATTGTCGTTTTAGAAAGCGCAGCAGTCTAGAAGGTGAAGGAGATGTGTAAAACAAGGGGTGAAGGGAGAAGTTGGGAGAGGGTGTCTTCTCCTTTTGGAGGAAGACGACGCTTTCCTCACCAACCCCAAGGAGTATTCTATTGCTTTTGCCCAGGGTGAACTCAACCATTTTAAACACGTATGTAGGAATCTCTTCTCTAACCTATATTCCTACTTAGGAGAGAGAACATTTACCTATGTCTACATCCTGGGTATAGCTACTTAATACGACCATTTCACGTGTGAAAGAGACGCTCTAGGTGACTTTATGTGTGGAGTTGCATAAAAGAGACTGACGTGTGATTCATAAATGGGGATGTTTTAAATCTAATTTTAGATGTTCATGTATTGACTGCCCCGATTGTCACCAGCCAGAAAAATTTGTGGCAAGTTGGAACCACCCAAAACAAGGCATCAAATGAAAAGATTGTAAGTAAAACATTAAATTTGGGCACTTACCTTAAGCCTGACCATAAAGAGAGTTTTATGTGTGGCGGGCATGTGGGTTCAGTGGGTAAAGTGTCGCCTTGCAAGCACAAGGACCAGCACCCATGTTTCAAGCCAGGTGTGGCCAGAGGCAGCTGTTATCCTGGTGGCCAGCAGAATGAGAAAGGACATCTGGACCTCTAAACTGTCCAGACAGCAAGCTCCACCTTTACTGGGAGACCCTTTCTCAAAACGTAAGGTCGTGATCGGAAAAGGCCCTACATGTCAACCTCTGGTCTCCACTCCCAAACACGCCTGTGCGTGTACACCTGCACAGAAACAGACACACGCCACGAGCGTGGATGTGCTCATGTCTTCCCCACGCTCAAAACACTTAACCCAGGCAAGAATGTGCTGTGTCTCTAGATGTTACAGAGTGGCCTCAGAAATTAGAGTGGAGAATAACTCAATTTTTAATGCAGCTGGCAAAGCTCTCTTGCATCCTGCATGTCTTCTTTGCCATGAGAACAGAGAGCTTTGGTGTATTTGGCCGGGGGTATCCTCTCACTCAACAAATGGTACATAGAGAAGTTTCATTTCAAAGATATTATAGTAAGCTGGGCGTGGTGGCACAGGCCTGTGATCCCAGCACTCGGGGAGGAGATGCAGGTGGATCTCTGTGAGTTCGAGGCCAGCCTGGTCTGCAAAGTGAGTCCAGGACAGCCAGGGCTACACAGAGAAACCCTGTCTCGGAAAACTAGCAAAAACACTAAGAAAACGTTATATGTGTCGTCTAAGGCAGGGATCGTGTGAAGTGATGTGACCACTGTTAAGGTAGTCAGGACTCGGTGCTGTAAATCTGGACTCCGCATGCAAGGTGTGTATGCATGAGAAATGGAAATACGACTGGGAAATCACACCCCACAGAGCCTCAAGAACCTAAGCCAGGACAGGAGCCTGTCTCTAGGGATGAGAAATACAACAAATTCTTTTATTTCCAGGTAGAGCTAAAGGCGCAGCAGAAGGTCCATGAAGGGTCAAAATCCTGTGAAAGCGAAGCACCTGGGAGAACGTTATGTCAGAGCTCTCGGCGCACCGGGAGCCAGAGGCCTCACACCCGAGAGGCGGCTCTTCCTCCTGTGTCCGATCGGAGGGCCAGGGAAGGGAAGGGAGGCCTGGAGGGCGCTGAGGGCTCGCGCGCTCCAGGGAGCCCGAAGGCCCCTGCGGCCCAGAGGCTCCATGCACACGCAGGCGGCCGCGGGGCGGACCCCGGACCTCCAGGCCGCCAGGGGGCCCTCCCGAGCGGGGGCCCCTACGCGTGCGAGGCCTGCGGCAGGGCGCTCCGCACCAAGCGGAACCTCGCCCTGCACCGGCTGCTCCACACGGGCGAGAGGCCGCACGCGTGCGCCGAGTGCGGCCGGGCCTTCCCCCACAGGGCGGGCCTCGCTCAGCACCGGAGGGTCCACGCGGGCCGGAGGCCCCACGCCTGCGCCGACTGCGGCCGCGCCTTCTCCCGCCCGGCGCACCTCGCCCGCCACCGGCGGGCCCACACGGGCGAGCGGCCGTTCGCCTGCGCCGAGTGCCCGCGGGCCTTCCCCTGCCGCGCGCGGCTCGCCCGCCACCGGAGGGCCCACGCCGGCCAGCGGCCCTTCGCCTGCCCGCAGTGCGGGCGGTCCTTCCTCCACAAGGCGCACCTCACCCGGCACCGGAGGAGCCACTCGGGCGAGAGGCCCTTCGCCTGCGCGCCCTGCGAGAAGGCCTTCTCCTGCCGGTCGGACCTCACCGCGCATCTCAAGGCCCACCCGGCCGAGAAGCCCCATCGGTGCACGGAGTGCGGGGCCTCCTTCTACCGGAAGCCGCAGCTGGTGCTGCACGAGAGGGGTCATGCAGGCCAGAGGCGCTACGAGTGTGCGGACTGCGGAGAGGTTTTCCACTGCAGATCCCACCTCACGCTGCACGGGATGGTGCACGCGGATGAATACCCGTATGTATGTCCGGCATGTGGGAAGTATTTCTACTATAAGTCACAGCTCCTCGTGCACGGGAGAACCCACCTGGGGGATAAGCCCTATGAATGCGGAGACTGCGGGAAAGCTTTCTCCCGCAAGCCGAACCTCCTTCGACACCAAAGTACCGTTCACTCCGGTAAGAGCCGTTCGAATGTAGCAGATGCGGGAAAGCTTTCTCCTGTGAGTCAAGACTCCCTGTGTCTCAGGGAACGTGAACACGTGGAAAAGAACGCAGGATAGCTTTCAACCTCAAGTCACAAGTAACGGCAGCGGACAGCTCAGCTGGAGAGCCCCGTGAACAGAGATGGATGGATTTGAACAGGAAATCATGTGGCTGTGAAGTGTGTGCAGGCCACAGTTCTATAGCGCTAGCGCCCAGGGTACTTTAGGGCTTTCACACGGAGAAGAAGCTTCACAAATGGAGAGTGAAGAAGTGGGGTCGTTGTGAAGAACCTGAAGGTATTGTCTATGGGGAGGAATTGGAAGACTCTAGGGTCGGGCAAGGAATGTATGTGACGTTTGTAAACAGACTGTCCTAGTAGGAGCCAGGAAGACAGTGCTGAGCGCAAAAGCCGGATCATGAGCTTTCATAGGGAAGAAAGACCCTTGGTGCTGGCCTGGGGGCCGGCAGTTCCGGTGATGTAGTCTTGTCTTGCTTTCAGTTTCAGTGCTACTTCCTGTGCCCTGCTGAAATGTCATCTCTCAGTTCCTTGTTCCTGCTGCAGTGACTTCTCCACTGTGGAATTCAAATAGTCTTTACCTTAGGTTGTGGGATATACCTCCTACCATGACAGCCACTACCCCAAGAGCTGTGAACCGGGGGAAATCCTTTCTCTCTGGAGTTGCCTGTTTTGGGGTTATTGCAGCCACAAACAGAAATTAAGACAACTTGCTACTGAGAAGTAATGTTCTTGTTGTGATAAGCCTGCCCATGTGGCTCTTTGGCTTCTGGGACTGTTTTATGCCTGTTCACCCAAAAGTAGGAATTCTAAAGTGAAGGGGTCCCATGCCCTGTGGCTTTACCTCATTCCTGAGGTCATTGGGCACTGGTCTTGGACCTGTGATTTTTCTAAGGACTACATGACATTCTTCAGGTAGGGGGTATGCAGAAAAGAAGCCTCAGCCACAAAGGGAGCCCTCCATTTTGCACTGAGGGACTGTCCAAGGTAATAGTGCACTTCGACCTTAGCAGCAGGGTTTCCTGACAATTAGAGATAACTGCCTAGGAAAGTCTTTTCCCAGGGTCAGCAGACAGACGTCCATGTTCGAGGTGCCTGTGTCCTTTCTCAACCTGGCAGCAGTGTCGCGTACGGCCTTTGCCGATAAGGACGACGCAACAACCGAGGATTTCTTCAGTGGCAAGTTTATTGTGTAGCTCTTTCCAGCAGATGGTGAAGGACCTAGACCCCGGGCAGCGCTCTGCTTAAATAGCCAGCAAGGCGACCTGTCCGTCTGTAATTGGTGCTCTGCTCAAGTCTTCATAAGCATATGGCTGGCAATTGGAGTGCAGCCTGAACCCACATTAGCATAAAGCTGCGCATGCGTAAACTGCAGGGCGGCGTTGGCAAGAAGAACCAGGAAACAGGAAGCCGGCGCCATCTTGCAATGGCGGGAGCGGCTCCCGACATCTCCCCCTTTTATAAATATTAAAGGCCATCTCAATCAGAAAATTAACACACTATGAGTTTACCGATCAGCCTGTTGAGCCAACAGCATCAGCGATCAAGGAATTTACACAGTGTAGGAGACCCTCCGCACCTTGAGTCCCGTGCAATGGGAACCTGAGCCCTGGGAGGTGTAGAGGTCTGTCTTGAACAGCATCCTGGTGTAATGGGAACCTGTGCCCTTCAGGAGTGTTACAAGTCCAGACAGCGTCTCAGCGGTTGAGCATATTAAGCCAGACTTGGGGAGATGTTCTCTGCTCTACAGCCAACATAGCCTGCACCATGGCCACATTTTTAAGATGTTGTTGTCTCTTAAAACGGCAGAGCAACCAAAAACAGAGGAACAGCCCCGCGAGCATAGACATGTCAAACATTTCTACACCAATCCATTTTTTAAAATAGGAAAATGTAGAGGACAACCAGTTAAATAATCCTTGAGTAACAGAAACATCTAGGCAAGTGGAATTAATTTGAACAATTGTTAGGCGTAATTTTCTCATTGTCTCATCAAATTCGGCGGACCAATTAGATTGTAGCAAACGAGACAATTCTATGGATAAATTTGTAGCCTTAGTAAAATTGTTATATTGAATAGAAGTTACACAGATTCCTGGCAATTTAACCTCACATCCCAACTGAGCCAGCTGTCACAAAATCTCTAGCTGTTTTTGAACTAAATCAATACGTTGATTAACTATCATTAATCCTCCTCTTAACTGATTATTCATGGAAGCCTGTATATCTATCGCTTCACTAACTGATGCTGACAAATTATTGAGGGTTTGAGCCGTGGCAACCTGGCCATTTAATGTTAAGGCTGATACAGTCAGGGAGGCTCCAACCGCCGCAGTGGCTATAATAGCCACTATTGCTGCGGTGATACCAAAATCACGCTTTTGACGAACTAGAGTCAAAGAACTACTAGTCCTCACCGGAATAGGTGGAAAACGGGGCATGCGGGCTACAGTAGCCAAATCATAATCACTAGCATTTCAGCACAGAGCATAGAAACATCCACTATGATTACAAACTATCCAAACAAATGGAGGCCAAACACAGACTGGGGTGGATTTTACCAACTTTGGTTTTCCTAATACTGTCGCAGATATATCACCAGATGAAATATTTGAATACATAGTTGGAGTAACTGTCGCTCCGCCCAAAATGGTGACCATGGGCGAAAGATCTGTACAACTGTCACCGACACCACACAGCAGCCAAGCATCAAAGGGATCAATATCGTAGCTCCAGGGATCCATAACGGTATAATTTCCATACCCCTCTAAGGGTGAAAAGGTAAAGAGTCTATTTTGGAGCAGATGTGCTCTGTGACTCTGACAGCCCGTCTATGGGAAAATAGATGAAGAGTCCACACGCCCGCCAATGTAAAAGGGGGCGTACTGAGGTTGATACTTTTGATCACTGCGTTTCTCATCAGATGAGTTGTTCTGTGGCCACCATCTAAAAAGGATCGTGGCATTGGCTGAAATCACTCCGTTCTTGGTGGTCTCTTTCCCTAACTTGGCATAAGAAAAATTTTCTAACCCTATACATGAATCAGCATAAGTTTGGTTGGTTGTGAAACAAAGACTGCCGTTATTTGGCTGGGTGTTATTGACCGGCATTGGGGCTATGTCTTGAGACATTGGCAAATATGGTAGCCCTATGGAGTCATTGGTGGTAAAGAGCCGGGGGAAGACTTGTGCATCATACATGACTGGCATTGGTCGTGGGAATGCTGATAGGATCCCCCATCGGATCTCCTGGGTCTCCACCTCTAGGTTCATCTGCACTCCGCTCAGGATCAGGATCAAAGTTAGGGTCAGGCTCATCTTGCTTGACCACCCTGGTCAGACGCGCTGGAACCCAAATCGGATTTTCTTGATCCTGCAGAAAAACACAAACAGCTCCCCTGGATCTTATTAAAATAGGTCCTTTCCATTGATTATCAAGAACATCCTTTTATTTTATTGTTTCTTTTGATGTCCTGTGACTGACATGTCTGTCTGTAGCAGACCGTCCTTCAGAATCCAGATTTAAAAAATTTATAGTAAATAGGACAAGGGAAATCTTAGTCCTAGGTCCCATAGTAATGGGGCCTATTCCCCCTTTTTGTTTTTGAAGAATCATTTTTAAGGTATAATGAGTCTGTTTTATCACACCTTGCCCCCTAGGATTGTAAGGTAGGCCGGTGATATGGCGAACGCTCATCTTTAAACAAAACTGTTGAAAAGTTTTTGACGTATATGTTGGCCCATTATCAGTTTTGATCTGTATGGGCTTGTCCCAGGCAGCCCACGCTTTTAAGCAGTGGGTTATAACATGTGTAACTTTTTTTCCCGGGAGAGGGGTGGCATGAACTATTCCCGAGCAGGTGTCAACAGAGACATGGACATATTTTAATTTTCTAAAAGCCGGGACATGAGTTATATCCATTTGTCAAATATGAAGCGGTTGTAATCCTCTGGGATTAACCCCCACTACGGGTGATGATCTGAAGTCTGTATAGTTATTACACTTTAAGACAATATCCCGGGCCAAAGCCCGGGGTATCTCAAATTTCTATCTAAGAGTGTTAGCATTTATATGGTAGAGATCATGGAAGGCTGTAGCCTCTTGTAGAGGGTCTTTGTAGACAAAAATCTGTTTAGTAGCCTTGTCTGTCAAGGCATTAGCTTTTGTCATGGGTCCAGGTAGCAAAGTATGAGCTCTCATGTGTTGAATAAAGAAGGGAGCCATTTTGTGTCTAATAGACTGTTGTATTTTTGTAAAGACCTGTATCACTTGACTTTTACTATTAATAAACCCTATTGTTTTTAGAATTTTGACTGTGTGAACCACATAATGAGAGTCCGAGACTATGTTTAATGGTTTTGAAAATCTCTTTAGGACCTCAGCAACAATGGCACATTCCACTAATTGAGGGGAGGTATAAGGAAAAGCCTTTTGAACCGTCTGTCTATTGACCACAAAGCTTCCAAGCCCAGTACTGGACCCATCAGTGAAAACATCGATAGCTCCATCAATGGGCTGATTTTTAGTGATTTTTGGAAAGATAAAAGCATGATTTGTCACAAACTGAAGTAAGGGATGTTTAGGATAATGATTATCTATTTTTTTTTTAATATGAACATTTTAAAATAGCCCATATATCAATGGTAGAACATAGCACTTGTACTTGATAACTAGTATATGGAGTAATAATTAATTGTGGCTCCATGTCAAAATGAGTAATTGTTAGTTGAAGTCCCTTAATGGCCAATTCGGCCACGCGAGTGGGGTAATGGCTCAGAATTTGACCAGGGGACGCTTGTAAATGAACCCAAAACAAGGGACCATCTTGTCATAACACTGTTGTGGGCTGTTGAGGGGATGGAATAACACACAGCTGAAATGGTTGAGCTATATCAAAGCGAGTCAGGAAGGCTTTATTTAATCTTTCTTTAACCAATTGTAATGTTTTGGAAGCCTCTGGAGTAAGCTGCCTGGGCGAAGTAATAGCAGCGTCGCCCTCCAAAATAGCAAACAGGGGTCTAAGCTCAGCTGTTGTCAGACTTAATGAGGGTCGAATCCAATTAATATCTCCCATCAATTTTTGATAATCATTAAGAGTGTGTAACCCATCTCTTTTGATAGTAAGTTTTTGAGGTGTAATACTTGTAGGAGTGATCATTGACCCAAGAAATTGTCTAACATTGTCTTTTTGAACCTTTTTGGGGGCAATATGAAGCCCCTTTTCTTCAAGAGATAATGATAACAAGGTAAAAGCCTGGTATAACAAATCTTTATCGTAATGGCACAATAAAATGTCATCCATATAATGGCAAATTTTAATTTTTGGAAATCGTTTACGAATTGGCTGAATTGTTGTATCAACATAAAGTTGGCACATGGTAGGGCTATTGGCCATGCCTTGAGGCAACACTTTTTATTGGTATCTCTGATCTGGCTCTTCATGATTTATGTTAGGCAGAGTGAAAGCAAAGCGCCTTTTATCATTTTTATATAGGGGTATAGAGAAGAAACAGTCTTTAATATCTATTATTTTAATATCCCAATACTTGGGCAAGGCAGAGAGAAGTGGCAAGCCTCTCTGAACAGGTCCCATCATCTGTATTTGTGTATTAATGGCCCTGAGATCATGAAGCAACCTCTATTTTTTAGATTTCTTCTTAATCACAAATATTGGAGTATTTTAGGGAGATATAGATTTTTCTAAATGACCGGCGGCCAACTGTTCTTCCACTAATGTTTTTGTAGCAGACAATTTTTTAGAGGTAAGTGGCCATTGAGGAACCCACACCGGGTCCTCTGTTTGTCATGGTATAGGAATAGCTTCCTCAATGGCCCCTAGGAAAAACCCAGCCCAGCTTTGTCTTGTTTCTTAATAACGGATATTGGGCTAATCTTTTTTTTGTAGGGCTCTCTCAAGCCCTCTTTTTGGGACACATCTCATTTTTTTTTTTATCATATTTTGACTTTGTATAGAATATTTATTAGTAAGTCTGAAATCCATCTGTTTTAAAACATCCCTACCCCACAGATTGACGGGAAGTGGCAAGACATAGGGCATGAACGTATCATGATGTCCTTCCATATCTTTCCAATGTAATATTGTAGCACTAACAGATGGGGTTTTTTCATATCCTAGGCCCTGTAATGACTGTAACGATTGGTTAAGGGGCCATCCTGTTGGCCACCAAGAGGTGGATATGATGTTAGTGTCTGTCCCAGTATCTAATAGCCCTCTAAATTTTTTTCTATTAACCTTTAGAGTCATCATAGGTCTTTGATCTAACTGTAAAGATAAGAAGGTATGTTGCCCTCCAGAGGAGCCAAGTGTCTTTGTCCCCCGAGTAGCTTTTTGGCCAGGAAATAGTTGATGTAAGCTTGGCAATACCAAAAGTTGTGCTATTCTATCTCTAGGTGATATAGTGTTGATTCTCTTAGGGGAAGAGCACAACACCCTTATCTGACCCTCAAAATCTTGGTCTATCACTCCTGGATGTACTATTAAGCCTTTTAGAGCAGTTGAGGACCGTCCTATTATTAGTCCTATTGAGTCTTTGGGCAGTGGTCCTGCTAAATCTACAGGGATGGGCTGACAGCCCATCATAGGGGTCAATACTGAACGGGTGGTGGCACACAGGTCCAATCTTGTTGATCCACTGGTTGTTCTTTGAATGGTTTTGCTCTCACAAACTCTTTGGACTTGGGTATCCTGTGTTTTATTGTCCTATATATTTTTGGGCCCTGAGGTCGGGGGCCCCTCTTTTCGTTTTTTGATTGTTTTGGCTCATCCGATCTTTTTGGGAGAGGTCTGTCATGTATATCTTTTATGGATCTGTATTCATTGGCCCAATGTTTTCCCTTTTTACATCGAGGACATATCCCTGGCTGTTTGTCTGTTCCTTCCCCGGCAGATGTCGCTGTAGATCGGCATTGTCGCTTTAGATGGCCCATTTTTCCACATTTAAAACATTTCATGCCTGCTGCCCTTTGGGCAGAAAGTACAGCAGCTGCGATCCCTGCATTAGTTAATGGGCCTCCTATTTTTCTGTATGTTTTTATCTAGGCATTTAACCCTTTCCCTTTCTAAGGAGTAATAGCATTTCTACACTCTCGGGTATATTGTTCATAAATTAATTGTTCCACAAAAGGTAATGTTGCTTCTGTATCTTTAAATATCCTATCTGTTGTTTCTATCATTCTGGCCACGAAATCTGAAAAAGGCTCAGCTGCCCCTTGAATGATTTTAGTTAGGTTTCCTGTCACTTGGCCCTTATTAGGGAGACTTTTTTAAGCCCTTATTGTTGTTTTATTTATTTGTTGGTAAACTTTCACCGGGAACATATTTTGGTTAGCTGTCCATTGTCTCTGTCTGGTAAGCATATCGTAGCTCTATTGTGGCCTTTGATTTGCTATATTTTGTTTAGCTTGAATCGAGCACAGCTCGTGAAAGATGGACTTCCAGTCTAAATATTGCCCCATAGTTAGACAAGCCTTTACAGTATTATACCAATCATCCGGGGTCATAGCATTTTCAGCCAGCCTTTCTATCAGCGCCACTGTAAATGAGGCGCTGATACCATATGTTTGTACTGTTTTGGCCAAGGCTTTTAATTGTTTAAGATCCAATGGTGAAATGTTGTCTCTGATTTTGTGCGTCCTCCCATACGGGGAAGGCAGTTTTAATCCTTTTCCTCTCTTTACATGAGATTAACGAAACCTGTAGTGGTTTTATGTTCCTTTTATCCTTTTGTTTTCTTTTTAAAGGAGGTGTTGAGGCACCATAGCTTGGCATATAGGGCGGCGGATTAGGCTGATATCTTTTTGACTCATATTTGGCCGCTTCCTCTTCTAACTCTGTCTGTTTCTCAGGGTCTAGCCCTGTTTTTTGTTCTGAGTCTGACGACTGCATTTCCTCCTCTGAGGACGTCTCCTCACCGGAAGAGGATTCCACCCTAAGATTTTTAAATTCTTCTAAACTTGGGTAAAATTTTTTAACCTTTGTTTTATCTTTTGTAGACTCCTCGACCTGTTTTTCCTGTTTTAGGATCTTTGTTTTCTCTTTCCTGTTACCCCCTCTTTTTGAGGATTTATCTCGGGTTTTTTTGTTTCTTTTCTTAGTTTTTTTTTTTGTTTTGGACAGACTATCTTGGTGATCTGTTAATATTTTTTGCCCTTTTTTTTACCTTTTTTTTGTAGTTTTCATCCTCTATGTATGATTTAATCAATTTATAAATTGGCATCGTTCCGGGCCTTAATGTTCCCTTTTCCTTTTCTGTTATGATGTCATTGTCTAATTTATCCCAACATCTTGTAGTCAAAGTCCCAGACATCTGAAACCAGGGTGCTATTCGGTCAACTTTTTTTATAAAATTTTGTAGCACCCGGTCTGGAATCTTTAAGCCTCTCTAAGCAATGCCCGCACTGCCTCCAGAATCGGCTTTACTTGATGATTTCCCATGTTTCCTTTATTTATAGGAGTGGGAAAGCCAGCTCAGTTATCTACCTGAGGCTTATGGTCCGTTAAGGTTGATCACAGGGTGGAAAAACACACACTTTATCTCGTTTCCCGCAATTAAGGCACAGACAGCAAAACAAAACGAAAATGAAACAAACAACAAGAAACAATCCACCCCACACCCAATCAGTCATACCTTGCAGAAAAGTACCGCGGTTCTCACACCACTGACTTTGAATCCTTTCTCGACGAGCAGTCGGGGTCCTTCGAAGCGATCCTCCACTCCGGGGGTCGGCGGTTCCCGGGTTTCGGCACCACTTGTCGCGTACGGCCTTTGCCAATAAGGACGACGCAACAACCGAGGATTTCTTCAGTGGCAAGTTTATTGTGCAGCTCTTTCCAGCAGATGGTGAAGGACCTAGACCCCGGGCAGCGCTCTGCTTAAATAGCCAGCAAGGCGACCTGTCCGTCTGTAATTGGTGCTCTGCTCAAGTCTTCATAAGCATATGGCTGGCAATTGGAGTGCAGCCTGAACCCACATTAGCATAAAGCTGCGCATGCGTAAACTGCAGGGCGGCGTTGGCAAGAAGAACCAGGAAACAGGAAGCCGGCGCCATCTTGCAATGGCGGGAGCGGCTCCCGACACAGCAGTACATAGCAGTGTCAGCCACGTGAGGATGGTTTGGGAGACATGGAAAATGCAAGGCTGAGATGCACACATGCTCTGTGGTGCCTCGTGGAAGCTGAGGTCAGGCCGAGAGGCCACTGCAGAGCTATGAATTTTGGTCCAACCATTTTCTCTGCTCCCTGAATTTTCTCTTTTGGAAAAAAGAGTTTTACTTTGTGCCCTCTATGTCAGAGTAAGTAACTTGTTTTCTATCGTATGGAGCTTGCAG